ATACAATAATACACAATTAATCTAATACATAAGTCAACAATAATGATGACATTTATCATAATGATTTAAATAAAACATACTGTTGACTAAAATATCATGATTTATAATTAACAATGCACTAAACAATGTTTTTGAAGGAGAAAAATCTATATGGTTTTTGAATAGTTAACAAAAAAAATTGAAACTTTCTGAAAATGTACTCACCCTCAGGCCACTGAAGAATTATAGGAGTTTGTTTCTTCTTCAGAAAAGATCTGGAGAAATTTAGCATTACATCACTTGCTCAACCAATGGATCATCTGCAGTGAATGGGTGCCATACAATAATGATGACATTTATCATAATGATTTAAATAAAACATACTGTTGACTAAAATATCATGATTTATAATAACAATGCACTAAACAATGTTTTTGAAGGAGAAAAATCTATATGGTTTTTGAATAGTTAACAAAAAAAATGGAAACTTTCTGAAAATGTACTCACCCTCAGGCCACTGAAGAATTATAGGAGTTTGTTTCTTCTTCAGAAAAGATCTGGAGAAATTTAGCATTACATCACTTGCTCAACCAATGGATCATCTGCAGTGAATGGGTGCCATCAGAATGAGAGTCTAAACAGCTGATAAAAACATTACAATAATCCACAAGTAATCCAAGTAATAAAAATCCCCAGTACATCAATTAAATGTCTTGCGAAGTGATAATCTTCATGATTGTAAGAAAGAAATACATCATTAAAGGGGTCATATGACGTTGCTAAAAAAGAACATTATTTTGTGTATTTGGTGTAATGAAATGTGTTTATGTGGTTTAAGGTTAAAAAAACACATTATTTTCCACATACTGTACATTATTGTTTCTCCTCTATGCCCCGCCTTTCTGAAACGCGTCGATTTTTACAAAGCTCATCGGTCTGAAAAGCGAGGTGTGCTCTGATGCGTTGTGATTGGCCGAATATCTCAAGTGTGTGACGGAAATGTTACCCCCCTTAACATACTGTAATGCGTGTCCGGCCGGAGCGACAAGACAAAAACATTAAAACCCATTATATCCAGTGGGGACATAATTACGGATTATAATGACTTATACTGTCTTTTTACGCGTTGGACCCCTTTAAAACATTTTAACATTAAAATGTCACTTCTGGCTAAAATACAAAATAAAGTCCATAATCCATAATAACACTTACTCCAGTGAAAAAGTCCTCTCACATCAAAATCCACCAACATATTTGTTTATAACTGTTTTGTACTGTTTTTTGATTGTAAATGGTGCTTGACCTATCCATATTCTTCTCCTGATTCAGACAAGATGACTTTTTCACTGGAGAAAGCAATATTATGGATAGAGGACTTGTATTTTAGTTGGAAGCAACTGCTTGAAGTTAAAAACTTAATGGATTTACAAACACAAATGATTACAAACATAGAGCCTTTCACTTTATAAGATGTTAAATGATGGACTAGAGTCGTGTGGATTACTTGTGGATTATTGTGATGTTTTTATCAGCTGTTTGGACTCTCATTCTGAAGGCACCCCTTTCACTGCAGAGAATCCATTGGTGATGTAATGCTAAATTTCTCCAAATCTTTTCCAATGAAGAAACAAACGTATCTCATTCTTGAATGCCCAGAGGGTGAGCACATTTTCAGGAAGTTTTAATTTTTTTAGTAAACTTGAACTAAGTCGTGCGCTACTCAGAATGTATAAAGGTAAGGTCACATTGATTAGTCAATTGTGTATTGTCAATAGTGTATCAATGTACAGTATGAAGCACAGCTCCCACAAAAATTACTTTTAAATCAAGCAGCCTTCTGTTGGTCAACGATTGTATGCAAGCATCATATTCATTTCTATAAAGGGCGTCATTCTCCATTTCGATGCTCCTATTTTTTGTATGCACTTTACTGTCCTATAAATAAAAGCCCAAAAGATAAAATTCAAAAAGATGTGGCAACCTTTCCCAGCTAATCCACTTTCACCAGGTCCATTCTTATTCTCTCAATCACTGTCTCATTTGAGACCCCATCTATTCGCTCCAAGGACAAGCTTGTGTTACATTATCGAGTCCTCATCTTGTCACCTGCCCTTCACACCAAACCCCCTGGGCACTGGAAACACCTGAGCACAGCTAGAGCCGTCACCTAACACAAGTCAACATCTTCCAGCTTCTCTTCTGTGAATAAATGCTGTTGGGGCATGTTGTCACAAAAGGTCAATGTGTGTTCAATGAACTGTTTGAAATACTCACATCCCCTTTTTCCTTTGAGACCAGCGTGAAGCCATTATTGTCAACAAGGTAACAGTTCACATCCTGTGAAAAACAGAGATGGATTAGAATTGACAATCTCCCTCCCACTGGATCAGAATTCATTCTAGTGAATCGGTTCGTGTAAACTGATTCAGAACAACGATTCACAGATTACATAAAGATAACACAAAGAAGAGTCAATTAGCTTCACTCACAACGCTCTCACAGCTGAGAGGACATATCCCGTCCACATCACTGCACTGCAAAGAGGAAGAAGGCAACCACAAGGGCATTAGTAAATGGACAAGAACATTTTATCAAATGCATTATACTGAGAAAACACTACAGTTGTGAAATTAACTGTACATTACGACACTATGAATGGGGTACAAATTAGGGCCTAAAAAGAGTTTTTTGCTAACAAATGGTGGTTGTAAATAAAAACTGCAACTAATTTGGTGCATGTCTAAATTTGTGTGGGGTTGTATGTACTTAAAAAAAGTAATGGGACACCAAAGTGTACCATATTAGTTGAACATGCCTTAGAAATAACAATGCAATACTTACATCTGTGTTGTTTGGCTGACCAGAGAAAATAAGGGAAGAAGAATAAGAAAACGAGTAGGAAAAGATTAAATGTTTTGGAGAGTTGTTTGTGTGTGTTGCACTAGATGATTGTGTGAAACAGGGGTGGTGTTTGAAAAGTCCTAGGTTTAAACCCCAGAAGAGACCATAAGTCATGTGGCAAGTCGCACTGAATAAAAAAGTGTTTGGTAAGGAGCAAGCATCTTGATAAATTGCTTGGAGGCCTGCAGACGTGAGCATGTACATGTACGCTCAGAACTCTCCAGTGACAAACACTATTTGCTCATTCGCCAGTTCAGGACCACAACACTTAATATTTGCTAGATTGTTGTCATAGAGTCTCCCTTTACACTACACACACTCAAGAAAAGTCGGTAAAATACAGCTCAGTGTGGTGTGTTAATATGAAGGAATTTTCCGTATTGATTTTTTTTTACAGATGTTTCATTTTGAATTACTCATAGCTTTGCATAGTGTTTTTGGGTTGAAGGAAATGTACATAAATTCAACAGAAAATGTACACATTTTCTTGCAGGACATAAATAATAATAAATAACTAATATGAATATTTTTGAGGTAAAACTCACTTGTTTGGCAATAGACAGGAGCACTCTCTCCAGCAAGTCCAGGGATGCTTGCATTCCAATAGCTGCACATGGAAGAAAAAGGAAAATCAGAAAACTTTTAAGATCATTTTATAGAGGTTGCATTCTTATTTCCAGTCAATTAAATAGTTTTGTGCAGAGCATTACAAAAAATATATATGTTGGATAAAAACGTCCATAAATATTTACAATAATGTTTCCAGCGACTTTAAAATCCTTTTATAGACAATTTCTAGTGAAATTAAATATTTTAGAGCTGGTCATATCAACACATAATCATAACAAAATAATATTTTGATGACAACTTCCATAAATACTTTTATAATAATATATTTAATATATAAATATATAATATAATATTATAATATATTACATATTTTATAATTTTTCCATTATTTTTCAGTTGTTTGTGATTACTGGATATTTTTTATATAATATTATAGAGATTTCATTCATATTTCTAGTCAATTAAATATTTTTCTGTGCTGAGCATTACAAAAATATATATATTTTGGACAAAAATCTTTTATTGAGACAGTACTCACAATTTCAAATGAAGTAAATATTTTAGATATTGTCATAACAAGATAAATAAATATTTTGCTAACAATTTCCATAAATATTTCTATTAATTTCCATGATTCTTCTATCTCTGGAAATCTGCATTTTAAAATTCCCTGATATTTCCAGGTTTTCCATGAGCGTAAGAACCCTGTATTAATGTTTTGCTTGACAACATCTGTTGACGCTGTATATCACACGATTAATCCTTATATGTTCAACATCATAAGCTACCACAAAGAGTCATAAAAAAACTGAAGAGGCTACCAGTTTCTAAGCTGTATCAGCTGGTGTTTTATCTCTTCTGCCCCCTCCTCAGTCCATCCATCTCTCTCTCTCTCTGGCCGTGCAGGCAGGCACAGACTGTTCTAATGTTAGTCCTACTTACTGATGTGACCCACGCTCATACACACTCTGGACTTTTCAAGCTGTGAGCTGCCAGTTCCTCTTGTTTCTTTCATTTTCTGTTGATTCGCTCACTCTGTCTTGAGAGGAGTAATCATGAGGACCCCTAGATGAGGACTGCTGGAAGGTATGTTTCAGGTCTGATTTGCTTTTAGTGCAGTCATAATCATTTCTCACTGATTAGGTTAAAAAAAGCAGTGGTCGTTGTTTGTGCTATTCAATATTTAGGACTTCGTTAAACAGAATAATTGCCTTCTTTACAACAATTTTAGTATAATATAAATTCATACCATTCGATTCTTAAATCTATGCTTTTAATAATTTTCTTTAGGGTTTTCTTTCTATTCTAGATCTATAGAACATTCCACTTTAATCAGATATAGAAATATCTGGGATTTTTTTTTAACAGATTTCATTCAATTTTATGTATTATGAAAAGTGCACATTCCAGCACGCACAATTTGATCCTCTTTTCACTGATAAAGCGGATGTTGTTCTCAGCTCTGATTTATTATCTCAAATTCATGTCAGGTCTGTGCTGTTGTGCTGACCTCATGATGTAATATATGTTCAGCCTTCACAGGGCATTCATTGAACATTTTAATTGTAGTCAGCTTATTAGTAATGTTGCATAAAATCTGTACCAGCAGAACATGCATCATAGCACCCATCCTTCTTTACTCATTCTTTTAACAGTGTTTGCTTTGTTTGTTACCAGTTTTGCAACAACTACAGCAATCCCAAGTGAATTCAACAAATTTCCTGGTGGATTCATCATGATGGAGAAGGAAGGCATTCATTTGGTGTAGACCAGTGGATGCTCCTCCAAAGGTTTGCTCAGGAACTGTTACAACAGGGTTTGGTGGACAATGCGGTCCAGCATGAACATTATAGGTAAGATCCTCAACCTATTACAACATCCTCAACTTTCACGATTTCCTAACCCTCTCCATTTTCTCTAGTTTCCTCAGGTCTCTTGATGACTCTTCTGAGCTCTTGTGGAACATCTACAAGATGTCCATCAGGCTGTTCCTGCAATGTAAACCACACAGCCTGCAGTGACCTTAACCAACTGGCTTCCTTGGACTCCATCCTGGACCAGCTTCCCTTTGACACAAGCTACCTCAACCTCTCAAATAACAACTTCACCACTGTGGAACCTGGGAGTTTCTCCAATTTTAGTGGCTTGCTACATTTAGACCTCTCCAGAAACCTTCTCTCCAGCATCAACCTTGGGTGTTTTTCCAATCTCAGCAGTCTGCTTCATCTAGACCTCTCCAGAAACCTTCTCTCCAGTGTCTTCCCTTCAAGCTTCTCCCACTTGAACAACCTGGAGGTCCTGGATCTCTCTGAAAACCTCCTTGTGAGGCTCCCCGTTAACTTGTTCTCTGACCTCGGCAGCCTAACAGAACTGGTTCTAAGAGACAACAGGCTTAAGGAACTGAATCCAGAACAGTTCAAAGGTCTGACTGAGCTTAGGCGTCTAGATCTTTCCTTTAACAGTCTAAGCTCCATGCCCACACACCTGCTGGATGGGCTCCAGAATCTAGTGTGGCTCTCGCTTATGGGCAACAAGCTGAGAACTCTGCAGCGGACTTCACTTGAGCCAGCGACCGCTCTACAGCAACTTCTGCTCGATGGAAACCCATGGAATTGTAACTGTAATTTAATTCCACTCAAGCATTGGCTGGAATGGATTGTATACACAGGTGAGAGAGGTCATTTATCACTGCTGGGAATTAGTTATGCACAATATATCAGTACCATATCAGTTACAGTATCTGCCGATTTAGAGAGATTTAAGAGATTTAAAGTCACAATGTAAAGAAAGTAGCGACAGAACCTATCAAATGTATTGTGATGTAAATGAAAATAAAATTTGTTATCAAAAAAATGTAGCGAGAGAAGTGATTCTATCCTTCAATTATTAATTGACAGGAGGCGGATCAGAATGTGAGTTGCAGTCGATTGTAATAAAGGGACAGGGTTTAAGTGGACTGAATGATTAGAGAAAACCGCCATATATCACCAGAAAGAAGTGTTTTGTTTCACCGGATGACTTTAATTTGCAAGCTCATTTACTCTATTTTTACATTTAGATTACCTTTGCCATGATTTAATTCAATTAAATAATTCAATAACACTCTTAATTGCAATCTTTAACAAATCTCAAAATGAATACCCATATTTCATAGTGTCAATTATAATGCTGTGATGTGTTAATTATAATGTTGTGATGTCTAAATTCACTTGTAGCATTTAAAACTATTTTTTACAGTTTTTTAAAGATGGTCCAACCATCAATGTTCAGTGACTAACATTAAATCCATTAAATTAATCATAATATAATATAATATAATATAATATAATATGTAATTATGTGTCTGTGTGTATTCAAATTAAACATAAAATAATAAATTATGAATGAATAATATATATAATTCTTTTTATTATATTTTTTCACTGATTTATTTTTTATTTATTTAGACAAATTAATATAGAATTTATTACTGAGAATTTATCAGTTAATGGCCAAAACATTAAATTACTTATCGGCTTATCAACATTTGTAAGAATTTTCATATATTTATATTTATATGTATATTAATTAAAAATATTATATATATATATATATATATATATAAAACAATACAAAAAAAATATATTTAATAAAAATGTTATTGTGAAATATTATTACAATTTAAAATAACTGTTTTCTATTTTACAACTATAAATTAAAATTATATATATATATATTATATATTAAAATATAAATTTAAAGATACTCTATCTACATATTTAACATAAACCAATACATTTCACTTTTTTTATTTTACATTTTAATATCTTAACTTCTGGTGCTCTTCGGTCACTTTTGACCGGAAACATTTTTGTTTTTAATTTTTAAAAATCACAGCTTCATCTGAATGGTATGAAACTTGGTGACTTTTATGGCATTTGGAATGTGAACACACAAAAAAAATTGAGGATCGAACAGGCTAAATGGTTGTAAAAAAAAAAATAGACACACTTGTGGTCTTCGGTCAAAAATGACCGACCATAGGAAATTAATGGGAAATTGACAAAAACTGCAAATTTTTGTGTGTAAAATCTACAAATCTGCCACAATGCAGAAAAAAAGTACACAGCAATGACGGGGTGAAACTCTAAAACATCAAGAGTGCAAAACCAACAAATCCATTCACACACACACATACACACACTCACACTCACAGACACACACACACACACACACATACACAATTATACACATTCAAATGAATTGGTATGGCTATAACGGTATAGCCATAACGAGTCAGAAAATTGAAATAAGAGGTTGAAATCAGATCAGACCCAGAAGGATTAAGCTATGAAAAAACAGTCCTGTTCATTTTTGTTACATTTTTATAGAATTTTAAAGTTTTGTGTAACAAAATGCTTTCTCTGTGTTCAGGTTTGACTGTAGTAATAATAATTCAAAAACTGACGCTTTAAATCAACATTTCAAATCAAATAAAATCTAAACCTTTATAAAAAAGTTGTCTTTGAAAATGTCTAAATATATATCCAAACCAACAACTTAATAAAAAGAAGTATTTATGTCTAAAAACAATTAGAGAATTTATAGGCCTTTTATATAGAGCTATATGGGAATCTATGGGCTAAACCATGGAATTGCAGATGTTTTTCTTATTTTACTCCCATCAGATGGCACTAATCTGGCTTAAACAATTGGATTTTAAAGGCATTGTCTCTATTGTAACATGAAATACTGCCATAATTGAAAAATAATAGAAAATATTTGAAAAAAAACATTTTGTATTATTTTCAATGGGAAAAATGTATCATAACTATTGCATAAATATTAATTAGTGCCATGAAATTCTCTCAAAATACAAAAGAAAAAATATTATTAAACAAAAATATGTTACATTGATTTTACTGGGGGGGGAAAAAGTTACATTTTAGGTGTCCGGTCACTTTTGACTGTGAAGACCACATGTGTGACTCCCATAAAAGGAGCACCAGAGGGTTAAATTGCATTTCAATTTCCATAAAAGTTATATGTCTTTCTCTTTTATCATTCCATAGGTGGCAGCATAGATTCCGCCAACTGCTCCTTTCCTGCTAATTTGCATGGTAAGGATCTTCGCAGTATCCCTATGGAGATGTTCAGACACTGTTACCCCCTCTATCTGGAGACCAGGGACCCATCTGCAGCCGAGGGCCACCAGGTACCAGCCGGGTCGGCCGGAGACTGCATGTGCCAGCGCTACCGGCCTGTGAGTGTGCGTCGAGCGACTGCCACGGTGGTGGTAGCTGGGGTGGTGTGTGGCGTGGTGTGTGTGATGATGGTGGTAACAGCCACCTACGGCTGCATCTACGCAATGCTGATGGCTCACGAACAGCAGCAGCTGATAGAGAGAAACAGCCAGCGGCAACAGCCGCTGATGGTGGCAAAGGAACCAGAACAGGATGAAAAGGAGGATCTGATGCCGACTATCGGAAAGGGAGCAGAAGCCACAGAGTGCGTAGTGTGGATGGCATTTCCTCCAGAAGTGTGTGTTTAAAGCACATGAGGAACCTATCGGAAGCTATAGTTTATCATTGATGTACATAGATTTATAAATATTTGTTTGGGAGCGAGAATTGGAGAGCAAATGACCCGATGTAGTTCAGGAGCAATTACAGCTCCTACAAACTGGCTCAAAAAGATTCAAAAAGACAAATATATTCAACTACTCTATAGCTGTTAAGTAGATTTAAAGGGGTCCTATTATGCTTTTTCACTTTTTCAACTTTAGTTAGTCTGTAATGTTGCTGTTTGAGCATAAAAAAGATCTGCAAAGTTATAAAGCTCAAAGTCCACTTCAAAAGAAGATATTTTATTTAACAGAAATCACTTTACAAAAACTACAACGAACGACTCGTTTGGACTACAACGCACATTTTCCGGGATTTGTGATATCACAAATACCGACGAATGGGACGAGACCTGGTTGAGCTGCACTAGAGAAGGCAACAAGTGTTATCACGATGTCGGAGACACGCTAGCTTTCCCAAGGCAGACGAACTTAGAGTGGTTACAATCATCCGGGTTTAAATCGCGCTCAAATTGATTTGATATTGACGCAATATTTACACTGAAGCTCGCAGCAGGCG